GCGCGGCCTTCAGCGCACCCACGCCGTCCCGGCCCGCTGCCAGCCAGAACACAACACCAACCGACACCGCGCCAACAGCCGTCCACAGCACCATCTACGCGCCTTGCCGACCAGAAAAAAAACCACCACGCAGTCCACCCACGCCCGCCGATCCCGCCCAAACAGCACGCATCCCGCGCGTCGCGCGCACCCAGAACATCTCATACGACGCCCACACACAACGAAGAATCCAGACGCACCGCCAGCCCCGTCGACCTCCGTGCCCGCCGTACGAAGCCCCCGCCGTCCCGCGCACCGCCGCCCGCCGTCCGCGCCGCCCCGTGACAGACAGGCAAGCACGATCTAGTGGCCCAACTGATGCCTCGATAAGACAGGGCGACGGAGAGCGCGGGGCATCTCCACACACCCGAGAGGCCGACCAAACGGCGCTTCCTAAACAGAAGTCGGCGACAGTCCCCGACGTCATACCCCAAGACAGAAAAGACGCAGGGACAGCGGCAACCGACGCACACACGCGTCGCGTCAGTTGACCGACCTGCTGCGTAAAGAACGGCAGCGAAATGTTACAGCGGACGGTCTTCTTACCGGTGCGGTGTAGACGGGAGCCGCGCCCGCGGCACACGGACCTGGACCGCGCTGGCCCCGCGGGCGCGCGACAAACGCCACGCGGTGCTAATAACGACCGGCAGGACTGGTCCCGGGCGCCGGAGCCAACGTGGTCGCGCCGGGTCTCCAAGAAAATCATCCCCGCGGGTCACCTGCGGTTGACTTGGAACTGCTCGATAGAGGCCTGGAGGCTGTCGATGAGCTTCCAGCACTCCTCCGCCTCGGGCGCGTCGCCCTGGCCCGCCATCGAGCCGGCCGCGGAGTCGGAGCCGCGTCCGTTGCCATGGCGACTCCCGGGGAACGCAGCCGCGGAGGGGGCGGGGCGGCGGGCGTGAGCGCGGCCCGCGTGGCCGGGCACCTGGGGACTCGAGTCCCCGCGCCTCTCGTGGCCGCCCACCGGGCGCCAGAGGCCGCCGCGCACGCGCCCGACGCCGCTGGGGCGCGAGGCCCGAGCTCCCGGGCCGGGAGGGGACGGCCTGCGCCTGCCACACACGAGGCGCAGCCGCCGCGCCCGCGAAGCAGGGGTCCTCGCGGAGGATGAGCAGGCCCGCGTGCCGGGTGGTGAGAAGGTCACCGGACAACAGGCGGTTATGGGTGAGCCTACAGCAGAAAGGATGTTTGCATTATTATTCTTAGCTGCTCTCTTCCAAGGTAATCATTCAGTTCAAAGAATACAAATAAAAATGGAAATTTGTTGATTATTAACAAAAAAAAAAGAAGAAGGTCAGACTGCCGGGCGTCAAGCTTTACATTATACTGTGTAGTGTGGGATTCAGTTTTACTAAGTTTCTACAGTAATAAGAGAAGTTTCTTCTGAATAGCGAAATAGTACTCATCCTTTTTTTTAAAATTAGGTATCATTCATTGGTAACTGTTAGGAGACACCTGTTTTGGGTTTTTTTTGTTTTTGAGACAGAGTCTTGCTCTGTCACCTGGGCTAGAGTGCCGTGGCATCAGCCTAGCTCACAGCAACCGCAAACTCCTGGGCTGAAACCATCCTCCTACCTCAGCTCCCAAGTACCTGGGACGACAGGCACGCGCCACCATGCCTGGCTAATTTTTTCTATTTTTAGTTGTCCAGCTAATTTCTTTCTATTTTTAGTTGAGACAGGGTCTCAATCTTGCTGAGGCTGGTCTCAAACCCCTGACCTCAAGCTATCCTCCCGCCTCAGCCTTCCAAAAGGTTAGGACTACAGGTATGAGCTACCACACCCATCCAGAGACACCTATTTTATTTTCAATAATATGTCATTGTGCCGGGTTTTAGAACTAACTACACTACATCTCCATTTCAATGTGCTGTCTACAGAAAAATTAACTTTTTCTTCTCTTCCTTATAACAATACATGAAAAAGAGGTTAGTTTGATATTAGAAGCTCAAAATAGAAAATCACTGCATTATCACTGTTATTTTATTTTTTTTTCTCAGCCATTTTCCATCAGTATCACTGTTATTTTAAAAGACAAAGATGAAAAGCCTCAAATGCCAATAAAAAATCATGACCAATACCAAAATAATCTTCTGTGTATGTTTCTTTTTATGGGAGGAGGTGAAGAGAGGAGAAAAAGAGTCACTTTTATTCTATGGAGGTTTTTATTTTTGAAATCTAACTTAAAACTTTAGGAAACTTTTATTATATAATCAAAACGTGTTTAATCAAAACAAGGGTCCCCAACCTAAGGTGACTTGTATAACTATTTCGTTATATATTACAATGTAATAATAACAGAAATAAAGTGCACAATAAATGTGATGCACTTGAATTATCCCCAAACCATCCCCCTCCCCAAGTCTGTGGAAAAATTGTCTTCCATGAAAACCATCCCTTGGTACCAAAAAGGTTGGGGACTGCTATTTTAAAAGAAAGAAATTTCTTATCTATAATAAGTTGTCTTTTTCTTAAATGATATTTTATCACAATGCATACACATGTTTTAAAATAAAGATTAAAATTCCAAGTTAAAATAAAAAAACCTGATCCACTTAGAGCTGGGCCAAGACAGTAAAAAGAACGTGATAAGCCGTTGGCTATTTTGATAGTGCAATTATAAATGAATATTTTGAAACTAGGGAGAGAGATCTCACAGTTGATTTCATGAGTCACTGGTCAGCTCAGAACTGTGTTTGTTGACTGATACAGCCTACATAGTTACAGCATCCCACAAAAACATGCACTGAACAAAAACATCTTTGTTTGAAATCTTGCTATAGCATATCAAGGAGTTTCAGATTTCAGTGGCTTAGGAGACCAAGCTATGATGATGATTGTTTGTGAAACTATTAACTACATAACGCTTCTTGTCAGTTACCTATATTTTATCTCTCGGGTGTTCTGGCTTATGAAATTGTCCATCATTTCAGATCGTGTTCTCACCTATAATAACTAGAGTTGGCATTCTCAAAGCATTTGTCATATTAAATCCAGGCCTCTTTTATCACATGTTGAATTCATTGACTGTTTTTAATGGAAAGCTCATGAGCTCTGCAGTAAGCATTAAATATATATCGTGTGTATATAGAGAGAGACTCTGAAACTTACTCAATTTAGGATATTGGGCAAATTACTTAGCATTTCTGAGCCTCTGTTTTCTCACAAATAAAAACTGGATAATTAACCTTTCTCAAAGAGCAGTTAGAAGTTATCGATTAAGCAGGAGAAAGCACACAGCACAGATAGCACACCGTTTGACAAACACAAACTAGGCTTCTAAGGCAGTGTGTTCTTTCTTCCTAAACTACCACCAAGAAAAACATTGCTTCAAGTTTTCAATTTTTAAAAAAGTTGAACATTTCATAAGCTAAAATGGTTTTTATGTGTTCAGTTACTAGGACTTAGGGCACAATTTTTCAATATAAAATATTTCTCTGAAACACACACTTATATGTATAAATATAAAATATATTTACATAATCACCTACCAATTATTAAAAATGATAACATCTCAGATTAAGTAGCATGAGGATTTGATCAGGAGTCAAATGTTCCCTCTAAACATAGTAATTTATATATTCCAGTTGGATATGATCAGTGCTGTAGTTTAATAAGAGCCAAGAGGTTTCAGTTTAGGTTTGTAATTTAAATTCTTTCTAGAGAGTCATCATCTGTGAAGTGCTTATTTTTCTTTTATCACCAGCCATAATGTGTGATTATGTGGTGCAGGCTCTGTTATGTAAACTTGTTTTATGTCATGCCTCATCCATAACCAAAGTTCTTAAATAAAGGGTTGGGAAGGGAAGCCGCCAGGACAATATTATGCTACTAAACCCTTTATGGAAAAACTCCTGAGACTAGATCGTTTTCATGTCTTAAATTTTACTGCAGTGAGACAACATACTCTCTCTGTGAAACTCCGTCCATAAGTGTGACAACTAGCTAGAGCTGAAAACCAAGGTGACAAGCACGACGGGGACTTTGGGCAGGTGCAATGTGGCTGTAGAATTTGGATCCTTCCTGCCAAATGTCCTTGAGCACTGGGGTACAAGCTTTCCTCTGTTTGGAGCTAAGTTTAATCATCACTATTTAAAAGGGAAAGTAGTAAACGTGTAAAAAATGGTCGAGCTTAGCTAGGTGCAGAAGCGAGCCCACTTGAAAGAGAATTGGGCCGGGCGAGGTGGCTCACGCCTGTAATCCTAGCTCTCTGGGAGGCCGAGGCAGGGCGGATCGTTTGAGTTCAGGAGTTTGAAACCAACCTGAGCAAGAGCGAGACCCGTCTCTACTATAAATAGAAGAAATTAATTGGCCAACTAATATATACAGAAAAAAATTAGCCGGGCATGGTGGCACATGCCTGTAGTCCCAGCTACTCGGAGGCTGAGGCAGGAGGATGCTTGAGCCAGGAGTTTGAGGTTGCTGTGAGCTAGGCTGACGCCATGGCACTCACTCTAGCCTGGGCAACAAAGTGAGACTCTGTCTTAAAATTAAAAAAAAAAAAAAAAAATGAAGGAAATGTGAAAAATTGTGAATCTCAGATTAGTGAAATAAGATAGATTATAAGGATTTATCATGCAAAGACTCTTTCTGAGGCTCCATTTCATCAAATCCTGAAGGAATCAACCCTCTTGAGAAGCAGGACATTCATCTGGCTTTTCTATAACTTGGATAAAGTGCCCCATAGGACCATCTAGTTCTTCTTGTTCTTTTCACAGTGTCACAGGGCAGCCTGCCAATAACTAATTCATGTTCTTGGGTACATACATGCCAAGAAAGACTTGATCTAGGCAGCAAACGTGTGATTTTGGCTAGCGTGAGTACTGCCCTGCCTCTGACCTAAATAAACTGATAAAGTACAGAGTTCAGAGCTGCCTGCGTGAGGGCGAGACTCAGAGTCAAGGTGTCCCCTCAAAGTGCCACCAGTTCGACTTTACCTGGCAGTGAGCATGGCTCTCTCACTGGCCCTTCTGTAAGTGCAATATTAGGCTCCCTTCGCTGTCCTGCAGCTTTGAACCTCTGTCTCAGAATGTGGAACCAGAAATTCGACGTTAGCAATTTGAGAACGGGAGAGGAGTGTTAGACGCAGGGGTATACGGTAGCGTGAACCCGGTTTGTTACCATTACGATGTCTGTGTATTTAGGTGACATCCTTAAGTCCA